CTGAAAGTGACTTACTCCTCTGGTCCTATTTATAGGGCAGAGAGAAAAGTTATTCTGGTCATATTTATAAGTCACTTCATTAAATTTTTAATGTGAATGTATTATTTTGTCCTTCATTTATTATAGTGTAGTTAGTTATCTCTTGTGAAAGGTGTATCTATTAAATATGTGTAAAGTTAAAAAATTGTTATATTTTAATGAAGAGTTAATGCAATTTAAGGTTTTTCTTGGTCTATATGAAATATGTTGAAAATACCTTATAAATAAAATCAGAGGAGTATAAATAAGTTTAGAGGAGTATGTTATCTAATATTACGCACAGACTTTTTAGGAAATATTTTTTGCCGACAATATATTTTAGAAAATTAAGTCATATTTATCATAATTACTTAATTTAATTTATGGATTATTTTGATTTTTGTGTAAATGCACAATCACACTCTAATCAGGCAACATAAACAACAAATGATAGAACGACAACGCATTCTAAAAACATTAATTTCTCATGAGTGCCTTTTTTATTGTTCCCCACCATGAAAGATTGAGCAGTCTTATGCTTCAATATTACAGTAAAGAATCAACAAAGATCTTCAATCAATTAACACAACTTTCTTGGACTCTCCACTTTGTTTGGTTTGTTTCCCTATTTTAGATATATCAACGTCTTATTTCCTCGAATATAGTTTACTGGAAAAATTAAGCACCGCATTGTTCACACTATCCTTTTTTTTCAAGAGTCCAAAAATAAGCACGTGCAAACGCACAACTAAAACAAGAAAGTGCTACAGTATAAAATGAAGACAACGCTATATATATATATTTACAACAGTAACAAACATTATCCCAAGGGATTGGCTACATACTGGTATAACGGGTCACACAATGCTATAGCCCTCTATTCAGTTCTTCAGATAAACTGTTGATTAAAATATATCGTTTAATAATTTTATGGGCTAATTCAATTTTTAGTCCCTCAAATTTACTCTCATTTTGGTTTGGGTTTCTAAATTTCAAATCAAAAGTTTTGGTCTCTCAAGTTTTCTGTTTTTCATTTAAAACATTGACTCATATAATCCAATAAAAACTTGAATTATTTTGTTTCTAAAAGGACTAAAACCTATGGTTTAAACTTTGAGGAACTAAAGATTATATTAACCCTAATTTTATTAAATGTTCACTTTTATTTTTCTTTATTTATTATAATAGGATTTTATATCGCTTGATCCAATTAACCCTCTCGACGAGCTCATTCAATAGCATTCTTTATACATATTCAAATCACCAGAAACATTTTTTTTATCGTTTTTTCTTAATAAATAGCAGTGCAACTCTTAAAACAACATGATATAGAATGCTCATAGTAAAACGGTAAATCCGCGATATGTCTGGGGTATGCTTTGCTTCAATCTAATTCAGTCCAGTGTAGCAACTATATATCTATAAATCTATGTGATATATGTGTGTGCGCGCGCGCGCACTCCTTCGGTCTTTAATATAAAACCAAATTAATTAATTTGAGAAGATTAATGATGCTAGTTAAATTAGTTAATATGACATGTTTTTTTAAAACACTCTTAGTATCTTTCTTAATTATTTCACTCCCTCTCCTATACTTGATTATTGTTGAGAATATATCAATATGATTAATTTATAAAAAAATTGATAAACTTGTAAAATAGGTCTTATATATAAGATTAATATTAGCTCCCCAGTTAGGTTTTACATTAAGGACTGGAGTATTATATAAGAGATAAGGAAATTATAATATTTCGAAACATGCACGGACGCAGGGTCGCCTGTACTAATCCATGAATGTGTGTAAATTTAACGTCTTTTAGCAGAAAATATTGAATTTCCTTTCTTTTTTTTTTGCCATGAAATAGTGTATTTTCTTTCAAACACTCGTTTTGGGTCTAATTTATCTATTTTTCACGCGGAAAATGTCTTTTTTGCCCAATAAGCAATAATAACGCATTTTACGTAATGCATATATGAATAACTAAGTGCAATGTAAAAGGTGATGATCCGATCAAAATATGTTAAAAGTTTTGTGTTTCAAATAAGATTACAATAATCATTATTTTTTTTTGGGTAAAGAAAACAACTAATTTCTTATATTACTTGTTATTGAAACACTGTAACTTACATTTCTCACCACTCAATTATCAATTACAATATATCCCCGGCGGTCTTAATTAATTATAGGACGATTTCACATGATTTTTTAATGAAAATCTTCTTTATCTAAAACATCAATTTTTTTCCACTAAAGATTATCTGTTTTGATTTTTTTTTTTTGCCATGGAATATTATTTGCTTTGATACTCCCCGGTCAATTAAGACTAATGACCTCCTCTAGTGATTGAAATTTTAAAAATGTTCACTGATAATTGAGTTTTTTTTTATGCATAACGAGTTTAAAACGCTTGCCACAAGGGCAGCCATTCATCAAATGGTCCTTTTCATAAAGCATTATTAACTTTTTTTTTTAGATTTAAAAATTAGTGAAAGTTAGTTAGATGTCAAATATTCTTGTAATTTTTCAAAGTCGCCCATGAATCAAACTAAAATCATTATTTAAGATAAGAGCAAAGAAAGTAAAGTAGTTTTTAAAAGTGTATCATTAATGTTTTGTAAGGATATTTGTATCAAATATCAATAAAGAAAGTCTTATAAATAGGAGAGGTATAAGTAATAATTTTTGGGGAAAAAAATATTAGCTTGGCTGAAATCAATGTGCATGAAATATATGGGTTATGGGAGAAGAATCTGGAGTGTCACGAGACCCACCAAATCAACCTTGGCAAATACTCCCTCCGTTCCTTATTATAAGAGACATTTGATACTTATGCCATGTTCCTATATATAAGAGACACTTAAAAGTTGTCTTTACTTTTTTGTGTTGATTTCCTATTTTACCCATATTTATTGTCTCCAACTCACACTCTCTCTCCCTCTCACTTCTCTTTCTTTCAATAATTTAATTATTCTCTCTCATGCTCTCTCTCCTTATTAATGAGGGCATTTTTGAAAAAAAAATTATATTGATTGTTCTTAACTAATTTTAACTGCTTTTTTGATCAACGTAATTCGGTTATTCGTCTCTTATAATAAGGAACGGAGGGAGTATCATATACCATATGTGTGCGATGAGAGAAAGAGAGAGAGAGAATCAAACACGCACCCAATCACTAACTTCTGAATTCGAAAATAAGTGAGTTAGTCTTTTGCTGTAAAAATACATAACATTTAAAATTATACTATGTACATAAGGCCACAAAACAACTAGGTTTCTTATAAATGTAAAGCTTTATTAAATTTATTTTTCTTGCTGTGTGTGTGTGTGTGTGTGTTTTACCCCCAACAGAATCTCTACAAAATTATTGAAGGCTTGAACTACAAATTAACTAAATTAGTTTGTGCTAGATTAAATGGGAATTTAATTAACTTTGTCGTCTCTGGAACTTCTTGTTTTAATAAAGTGGCTTTGGAGCTTTTAGCGCTGCAGCCACAGACTTCAAAAGACACGAATGGGACTTGCTAGACGTGCACTTCACACCACACAAAATGTTACTCGGAAAATTAAACTCTTAAGAAATTATTTACTCTTTTTTGCTCTCTCTCGCTTTCTCTCTAGAGTTTTCTCTGCTTTGATTGGAGACACAGATTCCACTCTGAGAGACACCAGACAGTGGGGTTAAGGATGTGAAGATAAGGAAAAGGGATAATGGAATATGATAAAAGTAATACTCATCCGATTCTTAATATAAGACCCAATTCTTGAGTTGGTTTTGGTCCTAAATATAAGACCCATTTTTCATATTTATTAATTTTCTCTAAATTACCCCTATAGATACTCCCTCAACCATAATTAAGTAAAAGAGAGAGATGAGGTATTAAGAAAGATGATTATGGTGTTTTGGGAAAAATGTGTCAATTTTCTTATAATTAACTAACTTACCTAACTTCCTTAATCTAATTAAATGAGTTAAATGAGTCTTATATTTAGGACCGGAGGAGTAACATAAAGTCATTTATTCATTATTTCAGCCAGCCTATCAGCTTTTCATTGTGTTTACTCTTCTTCCCACCGTCATCATCGACTCATCGTCATCCTTATCTGTCTCTCACTCGCTATCTAGGGCTACGTGTTCATTTTGCACTGGCCCACTCAATAACGCTACTGCCTCATTAAGATAAGGTTTAATTTTTCAGATACAATTTTCATGCAAATGGAGGAACGAATATTTTAGAAGAAGGAGGAGGCATTTTAGTTGTGTAGGTTTATTATGAACATTAATTATCTTATTTGTAGGCTTGATTTCTAACGTATATGGAATGTTTATTTTCATGTGCTCCTAATTTAAATTTTCATGCAAATGGAGGAACGATATTTTAGAGTTAATATATTCCCATCGGCTGTGTATTTTTGTACGGTTATACCAAAAGAAGATGGAAATGGAGCAATAAAATCAGCAAATAAAAATTCGTCATTTGCAAATAAATACACGCATCTTATTTGCCCATTTAGTTAATTTCATTCTTCCTAGTTATCATTTTGCTTTAATTCGTTTTTACCACACTCTGTTTCCCAAGCCGACATGAAGATATCTGATATTTTGAACCCGAGAGATTAATTTCTCAATTTGATTCATGTTTTTTTTTTTTTAGAAAGAGAATCTCATGCCTTCCAATAATTCTCGCGCTAATAAGTTCTAGCTATCATCTCTAATACGAGTCGTGTCATTATCAGTTCAGATCAGTTTTCTACACTAATAAAACTTTGTGTTTATATATGGCCCTGAATGGTGTAGTAATAATCATAGATAATAGATAATTGGTTTGTATGTTTCCTATCCGAAATATAATTAATTAATTAGTTGATTCATTGACTAAAGGCCCTTTCTATCTGTCACAAATTAAAGAGCAGAAAGTGACTAGGATAATATAATACGCACGCAATGAATAATATATATATATATATATATATATAACTTTGCTGTACATTACATGTCCATGATGACAATGGAAGCATACAGTAAGATCAACGGAGCGAGTTAACACACACACACACACTATGGATTTTATCATCTTATTACAAACTCGGGAAAGAAGTAGTTATTCATACAGTAATTCATCAGAATTCCAGAGGGTGCAGCCATTGCCATTCTCTTCAAAAGCGCCAGAACCATACACAAACCTCCTTAATCTCTCCGATATCCTCCCAGCCCTGTTACCACATTCTCCTACCTGAACAACATTCATGGGGAAAAAACACCAGATCCATCACTCATATGCATAAATCAGTTTGACCTCTCAGCTCTAGCTATATATAGGAGCCAGTTCTAGCTAATTTAATTCCAACTTATCGATCCACTTACTAAGGCTTTAAGCTAAAATCTGAAGAGGTCTGATGATAAAAAAAAGAAAAAGGTTACTGGTTTAGAGGAAATTTCATGAATTGCTTACCTGACAGTGAATGTTATGAAAAACCGTATCTTGAACGACTGAATAGCTGGCGCTAAGAATGTCAGCTTGTTCCTCGTGAAGAATGCGAATGAACTCGTTGAAAATGAACTGGCAATCCAACCCAGTAATCACACAAACCTCTAGTGTTGAACCCATTTGGTGAATCTCAACTTTGGGGGACTTCGACCCCTTAATGATTCCTCTGTTATTATAACTTAGTCTCCCGCTAACGCTTATATCTGGTTCGTTGTTGATTTCCATCAGGCTGAGCTTCTTCTCCTGCATCTTCTCCAACTTTATCTGGAGCTTCTTTATGTAGTTCGTGGCTTCACCCAGCTGATCCGGCAGTGAAATCAACTCCTGCACCACAGGATTTAAACGTACAATACATAAATAACTTAAAAAGCGGTAAAAAAAAAAAAACGAGTAATAATGAATTTGGAGGTGAGATTAAGTACCTTGGAGGTCTGACGAGGGACGAGTGAGCTGAGCCTGGAGTAAAGAGCCCTCATTTGGCTTCTTCGGTTCCTCTCTATGACTTTCCTATCGCATCTGGACGAAGTGCCTGGAACGTTCTCCATCGTCTCACTAGAATCTATAATTTACCCCTCCTACCTGCAAATTACAATATGGCTGGCTATAAAGGGTGAGACTTGAGAGAAGACTAATGCTGTTCCATAGATAAGGAGAGAGAGGAAGCGAGTGGTTAATAATGGGAATAAATTATGGGGGTGGGGTGCCTCTAAATAAAGGGAAAGTTTTGGATCATTATATATTTGGCTGCGAGGCTCTGATCGATCTTTCATAAAAAAGCATTCAGATATTTGAGAGACGTGGTGGGGCTCCTTTCGTCTTGGACCTATCTCCGTCCCGTATGAACATCTTTCACAGTGTCTCTTCAATAATTAATAACCTAACAAACTCAGCCCGTCATAGTACATATGCGCGTGAGGTCTTTGTACCATCGATCCGGATCAAACATATATTCAAAAAGATTTAAGTATGCTAGTAGAGTATCAATTTTTTTTTTTAAGTTGCCTTTGTGACATTGCATGGCATATGGGCTTTAACATATAAAGCAACAAAACAATACGTGTATGTTCTCAACGTGTGAGCATGTCCGCATCATCTCACAGGTGGCCAAAAAAACAAATTCCAAAAAAAAAGAAGGAACAACCATGTGAGATACGTGGATGTGAATTTGATGTTATACTTTGGTGCTATGAGGAGGAAATCTCCAGAGATAGATGATTAGGATTTGTTTGGGGGGACAGGTATGGAAAGTTGACACGTTTTGGTTTTCACACCTTTATTACAGTAGTAGTGGTCCATTGTATTCAGATGAAGACATAAATAAAAGGGGGCCCTCCTTCCCGGGAACAGATTCAGTATTATTAGGGTTTTTATATTATACTTTAGAAGCTTCAAATTTGAGAAGGGTATCATCTAGTATTTTATAAGTTTTTAATTTGAGTTTGTCTTAATATTTAGGAAAAATCCCTAAAAAATAACTATTGAATTTTAAAATTCAAAATAAAAAATTACTTCAAAAATGTGTTGTCATTTGTTTTTCGAGTATAGTTATTTTCTTTACAAGCATAATAACCAATACTGATTTAGAATTTTAAAATTCAACAATTATTTTTTTGGAATTTTCCCTAATATTCAATATACATTTTTGTTAATGTTATCTTTAATTATTTCTCTTTTACCATATTTTCCTATATATTCTTTTTCATCGTTTTACTCATTTAGTGTAAAGACATATTTAAAAATAAAAATTTATTTTTAACTTATTTATTATTTTTAATTAATTTTAACTAACTCTCTGTTATCTATAAATTAGTTCTTTAAAACCCATAATAAGGACGGGAGAGAGTATATGTAAAGAGGATGAATGATGAATAAAGGGTCAACATGACGACCATTTATATCGCGTACTATTTAGATTCAGACACCTCGTGGGGTAGGTAATTAGCGATGTAATGGGCATTCGAATTGATGGATGACTTTTGTCAATTATATATTTGAAACATTATACAATTTTTTTTACCTTTTTAATAAATGTGTTTTTTGTTACATTTTTAATTAAATGAATGAATAAAATGATTACATATGCTATTAATTTAACCTCGTCAACAAGACAGGTGGGCAAAGGACAAAACATGAGGCCGGGTATGATTTCACACATATTCTAATCACGTGGTGAATTAATTATTCATTAATTCAAAGTCTACCCAATTACTCTTCTAGTCTTATTTTATAGGCGACTTTTAACATGTTTTACATAAATTAAGAAAAATTTTAAATTTTATGAACTCTCATTTTAAATTTAATAACTTTTTAATTTTTTTCCTATTTAATATATATTACACCTCATATAAACAAAGTTAACATGATAATATATAAGGGATAAAATTATATATCCACACAAAATTTTTTTTTCAGTATCCTAAAAATAGAAGGAAAAAAATGTCTTCTCCTTTGCCTTATAAATAGAATAAGAGGAGCAGTTACTTGGGGGGCAAATTAATTAACCACAATAGTAATTCAGACCCGTGGGGGTGGTTCTATAATTAATTTAAGTCACGTGTCATAAGAACACGCGGGAAAATGAAACGAGTGGCTGAGGTTCGCATCTCTTGTTAGGTCTGAACTGAAATGAAATGTCGAGGTGGCTACATGTTTCTCCTCATTTGCCAAATTGTCATTTTCATTAATTGTTTTCTATTGCTTTTAAAATGTTGATTTCACTCAAACTAGCGCAATTCAAATTAAAGACGGTACTTATTGAATATAAAGACGTATATATACAGAAATTATTCATTATTCTGTAAATTTTGCAAGCGCAACATATCAATACCTTAATTCAAATCATTCTTATGAATAAAAATTTTTTATGGGAGACCTTTTTTTCTATTTTAAATTAAGTTCAATAAAATATCAGCTGAATTTTTTCGGGGGCATATTTGATAGTAAGTTTAATCAAGTCGAAGTTAAAATTTTGAATATACTATAACTTATGTAATGTTTTTATTTTAGTTCAATAAGCTCAAAAATTAAGTTTTTCTAAATCCAGATTAAAAAAAAATTCAACAAACCGTACTATTCATAAGTAGAAAAAACAAAAACAGACATGCAATGAGGCCATTGCTTCTATCCACACACAGACACAATCAATTTCAACATATATGCCAAACGGGTAGTAGTGTGAACTGTAAACCCCCTTATTTTACCAGGTGTGAACTCACAAGTGTCGTGCACCTTTAGTTCACTTTTCTCTAATTGCAACTTCTTTTGTTTGTGTGTGCATGCAAAAGAAGATGAATGTGCTTAATAATATATAAACTACTCGGACTAGCTATTTAACTAATCTATAGTATGGAAATCAAAGCCACATGGGGCGATCCTAGATATATGTATGGTGAAGGTAGTTAAGAGTTCAAACCTCCTGTGCCATAATCCAAAAATAAACAAACAAATTAAACATGCAGGCATGAGTTCAAACCTCCAATAACTTTGCTCATATTTATCTGGCTCCAATTACTAGATCTATCCCTCAAACATACATGAAAATTCCAGGCAACTCAGGCACACTTACACACGGATTCGGGGTGCCCTTCTGCTTGCCCTTAAGCACATAAAAAGTGACATTTTAATATTTCATGAATTAAAAATGGTGTAATTTTTATTTTTTTTAGAACATTTGCATCTGAATCAAAAAGAAATTACATCAATTTTAGAGCATTTTTTCCTTTAACAAATCATTTTAAAAAAACTGAGGGAGGCTTATGCTAGGCGAAGTGCGCGCGCTCTCTTGAACCTTGAATTAGTAAATTTGAATGAGTAACGGATTGTTCCAGTTAATGAGTGGGGACAACCGGCAGCATCATCTGAGTCTCAGAAGATATAATGGTGAGGTTGCCATCGAAACTAAATTAAAACAGCATTTTCTCTCTCTCATTTATTGCAAGTGCTCTGTAACTCTCCCCCACCTGTTTCTCCAATCGCTTTCATCTGCTTCGCTTCCTCCAGATTCATTCGTCATCCCCGTTTCTCTACCGGCGACCTCAAGCTTGGGAGAAACCAACAAATTAAAGAGCGTACAAGAGAAATAGAGAGAGCAGATATGCCATGCGGGAGAGAGGCGAGAAGAAGTAGGGACTAGGTAGAGGAAGAAACAAGGGTGAGCTTCGATTTCAAGTTTTGAAACTTGAAAAAATGGTGGCAAATAAGACATTAAAACTAGTGAAGCTCCATAAAACTGACCAGGATTAAAGAGCACGCAACCATATGTGCGAGCCATCTTGCACGTAACCTAAAAACCAAGTCATTACTCTGATGTGCAATTTATTCACCGCAACTCACATGTTGAAATTAAAACTTGATGATATATTGATGATAAGAAAGCTCCTTTATTAGTTTATTTAACGTGCAAAAACCAACGGGTAGCAGAAATAAACTAGGAAGTACTGCAACCACCAACTCCTAGAGGATAGCTTACAGTGCAGCTTCTAACCCTTAGAAAACAGCTCTCATGGCAGATATTCCACCAACTCCTATTGATTTGATCAAATTAATATAAATCCGCTACAAATTAAAGTAAGGGGGAAAAGTACACATCCCAATTGACTCAGTCAAACAAATAAAAAATGAATGGGTAGCTTAACTTGTAGGGGGGCTGTGTGCTTATCTAGGGCTTTTTTGGATTGTTCATCAATAAGCACGGTGCCTAAGCCAAGACAAAAACTCTTATCATATACTTACTTTATATTTTGTAAATTATGATTAAAAAACTATTTATAAACTATTTTAAATAAGCTCTTACTAAGTCATCATCTCAAGCTTGGCTTTGAGGATGCAACAATATTGAAAACTAAGTACTAGAGCATTGCTATTCTTATATATGGAATGGTTTGACCAGCCCCATGCCTTCCAATTTTGTGAGTGGGTTTTGGCTCCTAGAATCAGTGAGATGTGCCGGCCATTACTTTTGGATCGATCAATTGAAGTTCTTGTTTATGATATGAACACTGGACAGAGAGTTGAGTTTGAGTTGTAACATCACAACTTTTCTTTGTTGGCGTGGGGATATTATATTCTTTTGTACTGATTTATGATATAAGTAAAGAACCAGACACGAACATGTTTATTTAATTCAATAATAACATCTGGAACACGAATAATTACTCATGTAGCATCACAATTTTCAACTCTTTGAAACAAGAAGCCACAAGGCAATCACAAGGGAGCAAATATCAGTTGGTGTCATGTAAATTTTGCTTTGCATTTTGTCTATAACAATGGAAGCACACAATCCTAAGATCGATCAGATGGGTTCGCATATTTTTCTATTCTATCACAAATTAAACTAAGCATAAGTTATTATTCGCATTCTGATTATCACTAAAACTCCACAGAAAGAAGCCGTTGGTCATCCTCTTCAAAATGCGCCAGAACCATACGCAAACCTCTTTAATCTCTCTGATATCCTTTCAGCTCTATTACCACATTCTCCAATCTGAATAACATTGATACAAAACCAGATCAGCTCTACGAAGATTCATAGCCGTAAATGTTCGTCGATTATGATTAAAGAAAATTTTACAGAGTTTGGTCCCTCAATTAGTTTGGTTTCTTTAATTAGGAATTAGCTTCAATTAGCCACTGAACTAGTTGGTATATGT